TAATGCCTAACTCCTGCTATAGTGAATTCAACAAACAGCAGCATTTGGACTAGATTCAGCAGGAGTACCAACTTGGCCCCGCGGCTGTGGGTGCCTGGGGCTGTGGGTGCCACACAGCGTGCACGGCCGTGGCACCGAAATTTGTGGGTGCCTGGCCCCTTCATGGGGAAATTTGTGGGTGCTTGGGCACCCAGGATCCCGGGGAATTGGCACCTATGGAACTCGGTGAAGGTTGCAATCCTACAAGATACTTACTTGGGAGTAAGGTTTACACTACTCTTTTGGACTTACTTCTAGGTAAAGGTGCGCAGGTTTACTTCAGTCTCTTATGATCGCAAAAGTCAGCTAAGAAATAAAATCTAACCAATAAAACTACTTTCTCAAGCGGATTCCTAGACAATTAGCTGCTTTCACAGCGCCCTCTAGCGTTGCAGCATCCCAATTTTTTACTGCCTTTTTCTTTTCAAGCCATTTGACAACAATTATGAAGCATTCTAGAAACAGATGCAGATAACGGCTAGACTTGAGAGCAAGAGTGTGTTCTGTGGTGGGGGCATCCCTCATGCCTGTTTTCCCACAAGCAGCTCTTCAAAACAAGACAGGAAATGTTGCTTTCTTTCTTTTTTTGCAAGCATTCCTTTCAAGCACTTGCAGAAGTCTCTGAGGTTTTGCACGTATTAAAAGGAAATGCTTTGAAAATACAACTATCATTTGGCCTCAGATTAGAGTGTCTGTGCATCTCTGGGCCTTTCAAGCAGGTAGTCCTCAGCAAGACAATTTATTGCCTTCTTCCTTGCTTTCTTCTAGTGGGGTGTGTGGCGACCACACAGGGTCCCCAGACGTTTCACCGTCTATTGATCCCTGTGCCACCGCTTTATTTTTCGCTGCCACCACCCAGGCACTACCTGGTACAATACTGAGTCCAGTCAGGGTTAAATTGGAACATAAATTTCTGTTTATTTATTGCAGTTTAACAAGCGTGTGGTTTAATAAATGGTATCGGTCAATTAGGGATGCAGGTGGCGCTGTGGGTTAAACCACAGAGCCTAGGGCTTGCTGATCAGATGGTCGGCGGTTCGAATCCCCACCACAGGGTGAGCTCCCATTGCTCGGTCCCTGCTCCTGCCAACCTAGCAGTTCAAAAGCACGTCAAAGTGCAAGTAGATAAATAGGTACCACTCTGATGGGAAGGTAAACAGCGTTTCCGTGCACTGCTCTGGTTCGCCAGAAGCAGCTTAGTCATGCTGGCCACATGACCCAGAAGCTGTACGCCGGCTCCCTCGGCCAATAAAGCGAGATGAGCACCGCAACCCCAGAGTCAGTCACGACTGGACCTAATGGTCAGGGGTCCCTTTACCCTTTACCTTTACTATCGGCCAATTACAATCATGGGGTGCCTATCCAGACCTATAACTTCCGCTACCTACTCTCACTCACTAAACCACCTCTCAGAGATTTACTTGTCTTCCTAGCTCCTAACTGTTCCTGACTCAGCTTATTTCGCTACACTAACTCAACCTACCCATAGACTCTATCCCAATTCACTCCCACCCCAACCAACCTCCCAACGAACTCTTCCCTTTGCCCCTCCCAGAGCTGGTTTTATAGTCCTTCTGACTCCGCCCCCGGGTTCTGATTGGGTAACCTGTTTAACTATTTCACCTCCAGCACTCTCATATGTTAACGTCACACGGTGAGGGTTTTTTTATTGAGTTTTCATCCTCCTTTTTTGCAGGTAGGCTAAATAATGTTGACTTACGAGTGAGCATTCCATCTCATTTGTTTGTGGGGAGCGTACATGACACTGGATTCAAGGAAATGCTTCCCTACAATTTCCCATCACTTTCCTTAACGCACAAGGTTTGTTCTTCTGGAGAAGGGTTTGTGTGGTGCAATCAGCCTTGCAATCAACGGTAATTGTGCAACCTGGATTTGCTGGTATGTGACTGAATCCAGCAAAAAATAAAAAATAATTGGCAATCTGGAAATGCCCTTGTGTAAATGAAGCTTCTCTGAATGGTTTGGTCGTTTCTTCTTCCTTGTAATTTGTTTTCCTTTGTTTTCCGAACAAAAAGCTTAACACAGTAATAAAAAAAGGTCACATCCAATCGTGGTTTAGTAGTTTCTTCCTCGTTGCTAGTGCTGTGCTGGTTGGAAATAAATTTCAGCACAGGGACTCCTGCCCAATGTTGTTGAACTACAGTTCCCATCAGCCCCAGCCAGTGCGGCCAATGGTCAGCAATGGTGGGAGGTGTAGTCCAATGTTATAAGAATTTTAAGGTCTCAAATATAGAATAAATATTCATAAATGCATGCATATCTAAATATATGAACCATGGGAGAGCAATCCTGAAGCCATTTCAACTCTCCCAGTGACTTCAAATATTCCTCTGCAGTAAGGGAGACAAATGGGGAAAGCCTTCCCATTGTCTTTTTGCTTGCAAATCCTGTCTTAAGGGCATATTTTTGTTTGAATAGGGTGAGCCTGTGACCTGGATTTAGGAACTAAAGTATTAACCATCACAAAAGATTGGCCAGGTAAAGCAATCAGTGACCATTATCAGGTATCCTGGCAGGCAGGATTTCTGCTGTAGACCGCCTCCTTCTGTGATGTATGTATGATTTTTTGGAGAGGAGGGGTCATGGGCTACAGAGTGGACAATTTCAAAAGTCTATATAAGGGCTTGTGCCCTTATATAGGGTCCTTCTCCCTCCACAGCTGTCAACGTTTCCCTTTTCTAAAGGGAAATTCCCTTATTCCGAATAGGATTCCTCGCAAGAAAAGGGAAAAGTTGACAGCTATGCCGCCCTCCTGTGTGTGGCGAGTGGGGACCCTGTTGCAACAGTTAATAGGGATCAGGCTTACCAGCTGCTTTGCTTCTCAATATACTCTAAAGGTAAAGGGTAAAGGGACCCCTGACCGTTAGGTCCAGTTGTGGCCGACTCTGGGGTTGTGGCGCTCATCTCGCTTTATTGGCCGAGGGAGCCGGCGTACAGCTTCCAGGTCATGTGGCCAGCATGACTAAGCTGCTTCTGGCAAAACAGAGCAGCGCATGGAAATGCCGTTTACCTTCCCGCCGGAGCGGTACCTATTTATCTACTTGCACTTTGAAATGTTTTCGAATTGCTAGGTTGGCAGGAGCAGGGACCGAGCAACAGGAGCTCACCCTGTTGCGGGGATTCAAACCGCCGACCTTCTGATCGGCAAGTCCTAGGCTCTGTGGTTTAACCCACAGCGCCACCCGTGTCCCTTACTCTGTCCTATATACTCTGGTATATAGCCGTGTCCCATATACTCTGGTCGGCCTCTATTATTTCTCCTACTGATAGGGAACCCACTTAAGGACTCTATATAGGTTCTGGAATAACCCATAAGGGAAAGGGAGCCGTTTTTCTTAGAACACCAGCAACATCTGGAAGGCACCAAGGCAGGGCAAAGTTGGAACTTTTCAGCAAGCACCTGATTGGTCATGAAATTGATCAGGAACATCCTTCTTTCATGCAAATGACTGTGCCCTGAGGACACCTGGTTAGCTCAGTGTTGCTTGTCACAAGGAGAAATGACCGAATGTAGACTGGGCTCTGCATGGAGAAAGGGACTACTGGTGGGGAGACTGCATGGGTCCTCTTGACTACGGGTGCTAGCTCATACCTATTCCACATTTGTAAGAATTTGATTATTTAGTGTGGCAACACCTGGACTTTGGAACTCCCTGCCTCTTGAGACAAGCAGGTGCTTTCACTGTACTCTTGTCAGCGCCTGGTAAAAACATCCCTGTTTAGAGAAGCCGGCCCAGGTGCATAGAAAGTCAAGGCAATTCTAATCTGTTTTAGTATTTTGACTTCTGTATGTTGTGAAGTATGGTTGAAAAAAAATTATTTGTTTTATCTTTTACAGTGGTACCTCGGGTTACATACGCTTCAGGTTACAGACGCTTCAGGTTACAGACTCCGCTAACCCAGAAATAGTACCTCGGGTTAAGAACTTTGCTTCAGGATGAGAACAGAAATTGTGCTCCGGCGGCACAGCGGCAGCAGGAGGCCCATTAGCTAAAGTGGTGCTTCAGGTTAAGAACAGTTTCAGGTTAAGAACAGACCTCCGGAACGAATTAAGTACTTAACCCGAGGTACCACTGTATTTGTAAACTGCCTTGAGGTGTTTTTACCACCAAGCAATGTATAAATTTTATGAAATCAATAAATGTATCTGCAGCTGACTGAACAGTAAAGATAATAATAATAATAATAATAATAATAATAATAATAATAATACAGTGGTACTTCTGGTTACACACTTAATTCGTTCCAGAGGTCTGTTCTTAACCTGAAACTGTTCTTAATCTGAAGCACCACTTTAGCTAATGGGGCCTCCTGCTGCTGCTGCACCGCTGCCGTGCGATTTCTGTTCTCATCCTGAAGCAGAGTTCTTAACCCGAGGTACTATTTCTGGGTTAGCGGAGTCTGTAACCTGAAGCGTATGTAACTTGAAGCGTATGTAACCCGAGGTACCACTGTAATAATAATTTATTATTTATACCCTGCCCATCTGGCTGGGTTTCCCCAGCCACTCTGGGCGGCTTCTAACAGAACACTAAAATACAAGAACCTATTAAAAATGGGTTTTGTGGGTTGTGGGAGGCAGACAGAGAGCAGATGTATTTAAAGCACATTCAATACACATGACTCCCCACATCCTAGAACTCTGGGAACTATCATTTCTCTGTCACAGAACTACACTTCCCAACACCCTTATGCTATCATTCCCAATATTTTGGGGGTGAAGTAATGTGTTTTAAATGTGTGTTGAATGTGCCTTAAATGTTTAGTGTGAATGTCTGAAGACAGAAACACACACACACACACACACACACACACACACACACAGAGGATTTGGGTTTTCTGGGGTGAGTGGGGGTCGGGGTGTAGCCATTCTTGTCCCAGGCAGAAAATCAACCCTCAAAATGAGAAACACCAAAAGTTCACAAATGCAAACATGTTTTATCGGCATAAAAATACATATTGAGGAAATCAGTATTGAAAACTTAATTTACAGCACTGGTGGGTATCCTTAAAATTCCCACGATTTGGCATTTCTGCTAAGGATTATTAACAATAATAACAACAACAATAAAAAAGCCTTTCCTTTATCTAAACAAGCTCACAAAATCAAATGTGTTGGCACACATGGGAACTTTAAAAACAAACAAACCAGAAGTGATGTTCATCGAGAGAAGATACATTGAAATAAGAACTACTTCCTAAACCAGGGCACTAGATAGAAAGTCTAGAGCTGTAGAAAGCACTATGTGGATGTGATTGTGTAGGAAGCTGACCATGCCCTATCTCCTGACCCACCTACAGACCCATCCACTGGAATAAGGGGCTATGTGGATGAATTTCTTGTCATTACCACCACCTCATGAAAACAGTGGCCAACTAGAGACCTAAGGGGAACCTGGAAGCAGGACCTGAACTCAAGACCCCTCTCCCTTCCAGTGGTTTCCAACAGCTGGCATTCGGAAGCAGCAGAAGTAAAACATAGCCTTACTTGTTTATTCTTTTATGTTTATTCGTTTATTTGTCTATTCTTTTAAAGCCATCCACGTTGATAGCCATCACTGCCCTGTGGAACGCCCTCCCATCAGATGTCAAAGAAATAAACAACTATCCGACTTTTAGAAGACATCTGAAGGCAGCCCTGTTAGGGCTGCTTTTAATATTTGATGAATCATTGTATTTTAATATTCTGCTGGAAGCTGCCCAGAGTGGCTGGGGAAACCCAGCCAGATGGGCGGGGTATAAATAATAAATTATTATTATCATCATCATTCTTGAGGGCTTTTATTTTGTCTGCCTTGAATCTTCCCAACATTCAGTCCCCAAGTTCTAGCGGGGGGATTATCAACCCATTTTCTCTGCATCGTGCAAAATTCTTTATTATATTAAGTAGAATCATAGAATTGTAGAGGTGGAAGGGACCCTGAGTATCATCTAGTCCAACCCCCTGCAATGCAGGAATATGCAGCTGAGGGGATCAAACCTGCAACCTTGGGTGTTATCAGCACCATGCTCTAACAACTGAGTGATCTAGGAAAAGCATGAGGTTCAGAGTTCTATATGAAGGCCTGGCCTCCTAAGGTGGACCTTTAGGAATCTCCCATTCCAAAGGGCAAAGGTTGTGCCAACTTTAAGGATGGCGAGATCAATCTTTTTCTGGTCTGGCAAATTTTGCAAATACTGTATAACTTTATATCACACAGTTTCCCGCATATTCTTTTGGTGTGCATTTCATGACAAGGTACACACTTGGTTTTGCATTCACCCATCGAAGAAACTCAAGCTATGGCGTGCTGTGAACAAGCAACAATCCTGGTATATGCTGCTGGGAAAAAGCTCTCCCTCTTGTGGTTTGTTTGGAAAGAAACAGACTTCGAGGATCAATTTTGCACCGAACCATAAGCCGTAGGCACAATGGTCTGCTTCCTGTCGGCACAGGAAAGGGAGAGTGAGTTAGGCACAGTTCTGACAGCGTACATCAGCAGACATGAATGTCATAGTTTGGTGTATGTGTGAAGCGGGCCACTGCTTCCAGAAGCGTATCGCAAAGAACAGAGAAGGGAGGATAGCACTGGGCCAGTCTGTGTAGCAAACCAGGAACCCTCAAATCAGGCATGTTTGCTTAAAAATGCAGACCAAATTCAATTCACGAGGATCCCCAGACTTTGTGATGGATTGCAAGCACATAGCTCCCCTACTCCAATGAATGGGTGTCAAGAGGGTCCACAGAGGGGAGCATATGATTCCTCCATGATTAATAAATTCAGTTACAGCCACATCGGCGTGGGGCTTAACCTTTTCGAAACAACAACAACAACAACACAAGTCAAACTAACCTAAATAGCTTATACAAAATCAGTAAAAACCAAGGTCCATATAAGATCTGTGTATTTAAATATTTTGCCTTAAATTTTATGAAGTGTGATGTGTATCCACAAACACACTCAAACTAGAAAAGATACTGGAAAGATTTCTGTTAAAACTCAGGTCTAACCTTTCTAGCTGCCTTTTTGAAAAGAGGTAGATGTAGAGCGGTATTCAACCAGTTGACCTCTATGAGGCTGAAAAGTACTGTTGAAGTTTGTGCATCCTGGAAGTGAAGGTAAGAAGGGACTTCGCGGGGAGGTGGAGTCTTTCAAAAAGCCAGCCAGAAGACCTGTACTGCTGATGAGGAGTTGCAACTTTGGCCTAGACGAGCTAAGGACCACTTCACACATTACAGCGTTTGAGGGCGCACCCAAGTTGTTTTAAAGGCTACAGAACCTATACAGGAAAGGTTAGATTCAGAGTAACGACACACACGGCATAACAGGCTGTATGTAACTGTGTAACTTCTATTTCAAAAAACAATTCAACAGATCATATCACAGTATGTAATTCCACAGACCAACTTATCATATGAGCGGAACATGTTCTGAGAGATTAAAGTCCAGCGGATTAATCAGGATCTTCCCCCCCCCCATTTTTTTTTATTTTCCAACAAAATTTAAAACAAACTAACATAAATCCCAACCGTAATTAAACTTATCTTGATAACATTGTTAAGTGACTTCCTCAAATCCCCCTGGTTGAATTTCAGTGTATATCATTTTAACAGGTTTCCAAAATCAATTTTCTCAAAAAATTAACTTAATCACTTAACATCTTTCATTCTTTCTAATTTAGCTTTAAACATCTTAATTCCTATCCTTACATATTTGAATCCTAAGCCTATCTAATATTTGCAAGCTTTTCCAATTAGGTTATCTTAACATATTTAGTGAAATAGTCCATCCATTCTTCCTGGTATTCCTCCTCCTGGTCGCAGACTCTTCCAGTCAGGTCGAATCAGGATCTTATGTTCCTAACATAAGAACTGAACATAAGAACTGAATAGACTGTATCTCCTGATCAATCCGCTGGACTTTAATCTCTCAGAATATGTTCTGCTCATATGATAAGTTGGTCTATGGAATTTCATATTGTGATATGATATGTTGAATTGTTTTTTGAAATAGAAGTTACACAGTTACATACAGTCTGTTACATCGTGTGTGTCGTTACCAGTATTGTATTCACGTAACAAAAGTTTCAGCAGCGCTTTGTAGATTCAGAGTATGCCAGAGGCACTGAGGTCCTATGGAAATAAGGTCAGCAACAGGTCACTTCCATAGAATTGTAGAAATGGAAGGGACCCTGAAGGACTGAAACTGCAACCTTGGCAATATCAGCGCCATGCTCTAACCAACAGAGTGTTCTACTGATTTCAGTTGGGACCCAATAGCAACTAACAGTCTGGATCAAACCAAGAGGAGCAGGAGCCCTTTGAAAATGTAGGCATCTTCTAAAAAGGGAATTTTTAAAAAAGATACGTGGATTTAGTGATTTAAGGCTGCAATCCTGTGCATCTGGAAATGAGCCATGTCCACCACAGTGGAGCTTCTGAACAAATATATGCATGAATGGGGGGGGGGGGGCCAAAAAACCACGGAACATACAGGCACATTTTGGGCTTGCCTCTGTGTAATGTGTGAATAGGCTCTTAGGGCACATTGTTCATGTTACCTCCGTTGGGGTGGGTGGGGAGGTGGGCACTGTCCCAAGTATTGCAGTCCATGCACTCGCACCCTTTTTAAGCAGAAAGGTGAAACCGATCTCCTCTTCTTCATTTGCCTACGCCTAGCTCATGCAAACTTAACCGCGTGCAGCTTCACAAAGCTGCACCCTGCCTAATCAAAGTAAGACTTCAGGGTACCACGACGGCGGATGTCGCAGGTCCAGCAGTGGAAGCCTCCTCCCAAGGAATTGGCGTGGCGGATGTTCACTTTGACTGTCGAAATGCCTGCAGAGGAAAAGGAAGCGAAGCAAGACCCTTTGGTGAAGGTTGACTCAGATTTACACACAGGGTTATGAGGAGCTGTGCAAACATGTCTGGTACCATGGCCAGCTCCTCCTTCATCTACAACACAGTCAGGGGACACGGATGGCGCTGTGGGTTAAACCACAGAGCCTAGGACTTGCCGATCAGAAGGTCGGCGGTTCGAATCCCTGCCACGGGGTGAGCTCCCGTTGCTCTGTCCCAGCTCCTGCCAACCTAGCAGTTCGAAAGCACGTCAGAGTGCAAGTAGATAAATAGGTACCACTCCTGCAGGAAGGTAAATAGTCTTTCTGTGCGCTCTGGCTTCTGTCATGGTGTCCTGTTGTGCCAGCAGTGGTTTAGTACTGCTGCCCACATGACCCGGAAAACTGTCTGTGGACAAACGTCGGCTCCCTCGCCAAGCGAGATGAGAGACGCAACCCCATAGTCGCCTTTGAATGGACGTAAAAGACCAGGGGTCCTTTACCTTTTTTACCCAGACCCACTGAATTCAATAGCTTATGAACTAATTATTATGACTAGTGTTGGATATCCCCCAGTGAATGCAGCAAAATGAGATTGGGAGGAAGGTGGGGTAAAAATTTCATTAAAAAAATAATGTGTGTCACAGCGCTGTCAGGCTACGAATGCCCAGAGCGAGGAATTAACTCATTATTGTCAAAAGTAGGCATTACCTTAGGAGAAGGCATGACCCGGAAAGCTGTCTGGACAAACACCAGCTCCCTCGGCCTGAAAGCGAGATGAGCGCCGCAACCCCATAGTCGCCTTTGACTGGACTTAACCATCCAGGGGTCCTTTACCTTTTTTTATCTTTACAACACAGCATGTGTCATAGAGTGTTTGGGGCATATTTTAAGGAGATTTGGGCTTGAACCCCCTCTCCCAACAGTGGGGATCCTCCTGCAAGGCCATTTTGGCCAAGCTACCCCCAAATGGCTCAGACAATTTCAGTTCTCTCAAATTTCTTATTTTTCCAGGCTGAACTCTGGTTCTTCATATCTCTGCATCTTCCCCAGCTGGCATAGCCCAGGGGTGATGGGTTTTGAAGTTTAGCAACATCTGGAGGGTCAAAAGTCCCCCACACCTGCCTTAAGAGTTGCCAGAGAGTAGGGATGGGAAAATTTGTGGCCTGACGGTTGGACTCCAACTCCCATAAGCTCCAACCAGCATGACCAAGGATGGTAGGACCTGCATAGAGGAGTCACAGGTTTTCCTGTTTCTGGCCTAGAGAGGCCCTGGGGCAGAGCCATATCCGTCACCTTCTCCATCATGCCACTGCAGCCCTGCCAATTAGCTGCTCCTTTAAGCTTCACTTACACACTACATTAGGGAGGCGGGTGGCGCTGTGGGTTAAACCACAGAGCCTAGGACTTGCCGACCAGAAGGTCGGCGGTTCGAATCCCTGCGACGGGGTGAGCTCCCGTTGCTCGGTCCCAGCTCCTGCCCACCTAGCAGTTCGAAAGCACGTCAAAGTGCAAGTAGATAAATAGGTACCGCTCCAGCGGGAAGGTAAACGGTGTTTCTGTGCACTGCTCTGGTTTGCCAGAAGCGGCTTAGTCATGCTGGCCACATGACTCGGAAGCTGTACGCTGGCTCCCTCAGCCAATAAAGTGAGATGAGCGCCGCAACCCCAGAGTCGGACACAACTGGACCTAATGGCCAGGGGTCCCTTTACCTTTACCTTTACACACTACATTGCATGGGATATTTACAATGCAATCAAACCAACAGTGCATGTTTGCTAGACAGGCACATGATAGGAGCTGAAGCTCATAGTTTTCCTGTAAGTTTGCTAGACAGAACTCTTGAGAGCCACTCCCAGTGTGCCCTGAAGGTGGGAAAGTGTAGCCACATATAATCTCCTCACCCAGCTGGGCACATTCTCTTTGCTCTTTCGCCTCATCCCAGCAATGTATAACATATGCTGAGTCTGAGCCACACCGACTCCATTTTGAACTAGACTAAAGTATGTATTTGTAACTGGATTACCATTTTAAGCCTGCCTGAACAAAGCTGCTGTTAACTCTGCTGTTCTTCAATGGGGAATACTGAATGAGTAAATGTCATTTTTTACTTTTTACAAGACTGTTTTACTTTTTTAAAAAAAAATAATAATAAGTGATTATTGTTTTCAGGGGGGAGAACATAGGAAATACCAGGAGAATCCATTCCTCCTTAAAGCATCCTGGATTACTTAAATTAAAAGGCTAAAACTAACCTATCTAAGCTTCCCTTTTAAGCTGCAAAGGGATGCATTCTGCTGAACTCACAAGCGTGAGGAAGGAAGGAAGGATAATATCTAATAAATATAACCTCTCCTGACAACTATACGCATCCCTAAACATTTTGACCCACCGAGACTTTCAAACAGCTTGTGGATTGGAGTTTCGTTGGCATCCACCATCACACGTTTTTCATCCAGCATGAGGACATTCATAGAGAGCCATTTAGAGGACATCCACAGCGGGTGGTCTGGATGCAAATAGAAACAGGAAATCATATTTAGCACTCCCATTGGGTGGGTGAAGTCTGGGACTTCTGCTTTGCAAAACTCGTCTTCAAAATTGGGAATAAGCTAAACATACCATCAGGGATCAGGGGCAATGGAGGGTGAACCACCGTCCAGCCTGCGTTCTTGAAGAGATCGATCTAAAAGAGATAGAGATTCAAATTGAAGAGATTCAATTTTGAAGAGATTTTTTTAAGCCATTGTGGGATTTATTCCCAATGCAAACAAGCACCCACAGAAGAGGGTGTGTCTTGCGGGATCACAGAAGGAGAGGAAAGGGTTAAGAATAATAGAGTTGGAAGGGACTCCATTGATAATCTAGTAGTCCAACCCGTTACAATTCAGGAATGTGCACCCATACAGGGATCAAACCCGTGACCTTGCCTCCTACAATCCTTATTATGATCGCCATTGCTACTCTTGGCATTTGCATGTTAAAATGCATGCATGCTAAAATGAAAATATGCATTCTGCATCAAATCTAGTTTGGCCCCAAGGTCTTTATAGGAAAATGTAGTATAGTTTGCAGAAGTTGCATTGCTTAGTCTTCACCACAAGAGGGCTCTCTACTTGCATAAAGAAAGACATCGAGCATCCTTTTTTTATGGCACTTCATTCCATTTTCAATCTTTCCCCTAAGTTCCACATTATATCTGAGCTTTCACACATCATAAAAGCCTCTTCTGTAACTATAGTGAAATATAGTTCAAGTTTAGCAGCCAAGTCCATGTTATTTGCTTCCAGAAAAGAATCCATTTGCAAATAATATGGAAGCGAGTGCTACTATATAGCACAATAGCTCCAGATGTGGCTTTTAAATTGTGTGAAAGCTGAAAAATAATGTGGAAATTATCAGTTAGGGAAACATTTTATGAAAATGGAATAGATTGCCATGTGAATGCAATCTCAGTCTGGAGCTAAATGTATTGTGCTGACACTGGTGTCTAATATTTTCCAATTGCTCAAATATTCCTAAAATGTTTGCAGTCTGATGGGATCCAGTTTCAATATATTATATTTCACATGCAATGACATTGTACTTTGTACTTCTCAACTGACACGCAATCAGTGCAGGCCTAGACATGCAGACCTCTAAAAATTTAGACAGGGAGAGTCTAAATTTTAAAACCACCCCAAAATCCGGTCATGTTATCTTACTCCCATCTTTACTAAGGAAGGTTGCCACAGAAGCCATGACTGTTTAAAGCGGTATTGTACTGATTTAAATTATAGTGCAGATAGCACCCTAGAAAACACTCCACATCCTCCTTTGGCCACCCACCGCAAAGGAAGATCAAGAGCTATCCTGGATCAGACCCAAAGTCCATCTTGCCCACTATTCTCCTTCCCACAGAGGCCCGTCAGATGATTCTAGCACCCCCACCGGACAAGATATTTTAAAAGGGAGCACACACTAATTTCTTCCCCTCTAGCACTCATGCCAGCTTTTGTAGGCCATTCCTCTCATGTAGATAAACGTATTCCCCATATGCTACATGCAGGGCCAGATTTAGGTTTGATGAGGCCCTAAGCTACTGAAGGGAATGGGTCCCTTTATATGTCCAGCTGTCCTTTGTCAACAACAAATAGTCCCTGTTTTTTGTGTTGAATATATGCTACATGGTAATTTATGGACCTAATAAGTATCTAAAGCCATTTGCATATAACAAAATATGTATTTTATCAAAGCAATTGTTGAACTGAAATACAATTAAGAAGTATATTGATAGTGAAATACAATTAAGAAGTATATTAATAGTGAAATAATTATTAAGCTCTAAATTAAAATGATTTTTTATTCATAACAAACTTAATAATGCAAACACACTGGCATTTGGCAATAACAGAATTTCCTTTAGAAAAACAGTTTACAAAGACTCATAATCTAGTCTCTAGAAACTTGCTATAACATGAAATAATAATAGCAAACCAGTGATATTTTAGGGAGCAGGCTAGCAGCCGGGGCCCATTACTTACATCATAGGAGCCTACACAACACAAAACACTGTTGCTGTATGTAGGTTTTATTTTATTTGTTTTTTATCTTTTATTTTGGAAATGTATATCCAGTTTTATTTTCCTTTATTTTGGGGGGGGGGGCTCAAGAGAGTGGGGCCCTAAGCTATAGCTTGTTTAGCTTATACGTAAATCTGGCACTGGCTACATGCATCTTTCTGCCCAAGGAAACTGCAGGGTAACAAACAGAGCAATAGTTCTGCTAAATGAAGCAATCTACTGCAGTGGTAAAGGTAAAGGGACCCCTGTCCATTAGGTCCAGTAGTGACCAACTCTGGGGTAGCGGCGCTCATCTCGCAGCGCATGGAAACGCCATTTACCTTTCCGCCGGAGTGGTACCTATTTATCTACTTGCACTTTGATGTGCTTTCGAACTGCTTGGTTGGCAGGAGCAGGGACCGAGCAACGGGAGCTCACTCCATCGCAAGGATTCAAACCGCTGACCTTCTGGTTGGCAAGTCCTAGACTCTGTGGTTTAACCCACAGTGCCACCTGCTTCCCTCACTACAGTGGTACCTCGGGTTAAGATCTCAATTCGTTCCAGAGGTCCGTTCTTAACCTGAAACTGTTCTTAACCTGAAGCACCACTTTAGCTAATGGGGCCTCCCGCTGCCACCGCGCCGCCACTGTGCGATTTCTGTTCTCATCCTGAAGCAAAGTTCTTAACTCGAGGTACTGTTTCTGGGTTAGCGGAGTCTGTAACCTGAAGTGTATGTAACCTGAAGCGTCTGTAACCTGAGGTACCACTGTACAGTCCTTTTGTTAGCTGGAGCAAAAACAGATCAAGAGTCCAAGGGAGAGCCCACACAAATTTAAGAGCTGTAAAAAGGAACCACAACCTTTGAACGCAATTGCCCAAGGTCAGCTGCAAAAACAAGGGCTTAAATAATGTTTGGCTTAGTTAACAATTGCTGACGAGACACCTAGCGACTTGTTCAAAGGGTTCAGAAAAGTCTCGGCTTACAAGCTTCCCGAAAGCACCTGTGGGCCTAGACTGGCCATTGTGTCTGATTCAACAGGGCTCTTCCGTTCTCCTGGCAGGACTCTACCACTTTAAGAATGGAGGTGTGTGAACAGGATGTTTGAATATTCTCCTGCATCAAACTCCCTGCACATAATCAGCTAGTGCCACAGGGAAGAGGCCTAGAAATACACCAGAAATTGCTTCCACAAGAAGCAGTGATGGTTACCAACTTGGGATGGCTTCAAGAGAGGGTTAGACAAATTCATGGAGGAGAAAGCTATCAAGGGATACTATCCACAAAGGCTATGTTCTGCCTCCATGGTCAGAGGCTGTGATGCTTCTGACTACCAGTTGCTGGAAGCTGCAGAGGGGGGGCGCTCTTGTGCTTGGGGGTCCTGCTTTCCCATGGGTTGACCCCTGTGAAAACAGGATACTGGACTAGATTACTGCCGTACAATATACGTAGGGCTGCCTCTGAAGATTGTTCGGAAACTTTAGCTGGTGCAGAATTCAGCAGCCAGGTTTCTCACCAGAGCAAGATGGTTTGAGCACATTACACCGATCCTGGTCCAACTGCACTGGCTACCAATTAGTGTCCGGTCCCAATTCAAAGTGCTGGTTTTGAACTATAAAGCCTTAAACGGCTCAGGACCGCAATACCTCAAGGACTGCCTCTTCCCATACGAACCTACCCGGACCCTGAGATCATCTTCTGAGACCCTCCGTGTGCCTCCTCCTTAAGAGGTCCAGAGGGTGGCAACACGAGAACAGGGCCTTCTCCGCAGTGGCTCCCCATCTGTGAATGCTCTCCTCAGGGAAGTTCACCTGGCACCTTCATTAGACACCAGGCAAAAACATTCCTTTTTATCCAGGACTTTGGTTGATTTGATTGACATCCTATGCCCTTTTAAAATGGGCAGGGGCGTTATTGGGTTGCTGTTTTTATTTTGATTACCCATTTTGTGGTTTTATATTTTGATTTCGTTCTGTGAACCACCCTGAGACCCCCGGGTATAGGGCAGTATATAAATTCAATAAATAATAATACTAATAGCAATAATAGATGGGTCTTTGGCCAGATCCTACAGGGCTGGTCTTATATTCTTGCCCCCAGTTTGTCTGAAGAGCCCCTACCTCATTGCATGGACGGTCTGGGTTGGAAAGCACGAGGCCCGGTCCGATGATGTTGAATGTGGCATCGATGTGCATGGGATTGGGGTCTTTGAAAGAGATGGTGTGCACTCTGTATTCTGGCGCAAGGTGTCTCCGCATCCACTCAATACCCAAGTAGTTAGTAACCTGAGAGCAAGATTTAGACTTTTAGTTGTTTCAGAAGAAATATCTGCAACAACAGTAAGCCATGTATCAGGCCTGTCCAACGCCCAAGAGACTTCGATCTACTCCCAGTATTTTTAAAAAATGGCAGTGATCTACCTGATCTACCCATTGTCATTGAGGATTGACCAGAGTTGCTGAGCTTTTTTAAAGGGGGAATGACATAAGTCACTCATCTAAACTCCGCCACTAACAAACGCACGCCGCATTAACTCCGATCAACGTATTCCCAAAGCGCAAAACTCCGCCAACTTGACGCAACGGAGGGACAGAGAGAGGCAGATATTTAAACTGAACATCAATAGAGCATTGGGGGGGTGTATTCTTAATTGTCTGCATAGGCGTAGCGGAATAGAAAAGTTTTCAGCAGGCTTTTCAAAGTCGGCACAAAAGTTGGTACTAACCAACAAATAAATCTAACTAAAAAACGAATAATGGATGTAATTTTGTTGTTGGACTACGCAGGAATGGCAAAGCTGACAGTGAAATTAAGAGATCAAAATGGTGAACTTTTCATAGAAGAATGGACTATTTTTAAAAACACTATAGCCAAATGAAATTGAAGTCTGGATTCTAGCTAAAAGCAGAGGAAGAAAAAAATGATAAAATAATTGCACCAGAGAAACTTTTGTAATAGATACAAGATATAATGCAGTAGAGACGGTCTGAGTAAAAAGACTGCAGAAATGAGAGTGGGAAGTCAATTTATGAAACAATGTAACTATTTGATAAGAAGATTATGGTGCAGATGTTTGAAAAAATTAATAAAAAATTATACTGCAAAAAAAGGAACCGATCTGCTCACCTGACTTCTTTGCACAAAGATGTCTCTTCCGGCTCGTATGAAATCTGCAGCGTCAAAGCACGGCTCAAATTCAGTTGTGACAAATTTGCCCTGTGCAGCCAGCTTGTGCCTGTCTTCCACAGTGCGAATGGGGTAATCCTGGTTTCAGAAAGACAAAACACACACAGGCCTTAGCTAGGACTGTTCCCGCTACTCAGGGCAATCACACGGCGCCATTTCTCAACCTCTGATCTGCCTAAACCAGGCTTCCTCAACCTCGGCCCTCCAGATGTTTTGGGCCTACAACTCCCATGATCCCTAGCTAGCAGGACCAGTGGTCAGGGATGACGGGAATTGTAGTCTCAAAATATCTGGAGGGCCGAGGCTGAGGAAGCCTGGCCTAAGCTTTTCCAGGGCTGATAGTTCTAGCAGGGAGGGTTGCCAATGCAGACATGCTGGGGCCAAACCCCAAATTCTGGGGCGAGGAACACGGATGGTCCTGCAGATATTATTGTTGGCATTGAGCTCCCATCAGCCCCTGCCAACTGTTAGGATTTTTATCTATCCGAGCTGCTCCAGCGAGTGGTACTATGATTTGTAGTATGATTTGTACTATGATTTGGGCCTTCTGGTGGTTCCCTCATTGTGAGAAGCCAAGTTACAGGGAACCAGGCAGAGGGCCTTCTCGGTAGTGGCACCCGCCCTGTGGAACGCCCTCCCATCAGATGTCAAAGAGATAAACAACTACCTGACATTCAGAAGACATCTTAAGGCATCTTAAGGCAGTTCAGGGAAGTTTTTAATGTGTGACATCTTAGTGTATTTTTGGTCTTTGTGGAAGCCGCCGAGAGTGGCTGGGGAAACCCAGCCAGATGGGCGGGGTACAAATAATTTATTATTATTATTATTATTATTATTATTATTATTATTATATACATCACGTGAGTGTCTGAGTGAGCGTGAGAAAGGAAGTCTGTGTTATCTCTTCCTTCTGAGTACTATTGGAAGTTGGTTTCACTTCTGTGTGTGTTGCAGCTCTGTATAGTGGTACCTCGGGTTACGTATACTTCAGGTTACAGACGCTTCAGGTTACAGACTCCGCTAACCCAGTAATAGTTCCTCGGGTTAAGAACTTTGCTTCAGGATAAGAACAGAAATCGTTCTCCGGTGGCGCGGCGGCAGCAGGAGGCCCCATTAGCTAAAGTGGTGATTCAGGTTAAGAACAGTTTCAGGTTAAGAAAGGAACTCCGAAACGAATTAAGTACATAACCCGAGGTACCACTGTACTGGTGTTCAGAGAGCACAGATGTACTGATGGAGTCTCTGTATATAAAAGGTTAAGGGACCCCTGACCGTTAGGTCCAGTCTCTGGGGTTGAGGCGCTCATCTCGCTTTATTGGCCGAGGGAGCCGGCGTACAGTTTCCGGGTCATGTGGCCAGCATGACTAAGCCGCTTCTGGCGAACCAGAGCAGCGCACGGAAACGCCATTTACCTTCCCGCCGGAAGGGTACCTATTTATCTACTTGCACTTTGACGTGCTTTCGAACTGCTAGGTTGGCAGGAGCAGGGACCGAGCAATGGCAGCTCAGGTCCATCGTAGGGATTCGAACCGCCGACCTTCTGATTGGCAAGTCCTAGGCTCTGTGGTTTAACTCACAGTGCCACCCGCCTCCCTCTGTATAAAAGTAAAGGTAAAGGTACCACTGCCCGTACGGGCCAGTCGTGACCAACTCTAGGGTTGTGCGCTCATCTCGCTCAAGAGGCTGGGAGCCAGCGCCGTCCGAAGACACTTCCGCGTCACGTGGTAAGCATGACTAAGCTGCTCTGGTGAGCCAGCACCAGTGCTGCACACGGAAACTCCATTTACCTTCCCGCTATAAAGCGGTACCTATTTATCTACTTGCACTTAGGGGTGCTTTCGAACTGCTAGGTGGGCAGGAGCTGGGACCAAGCAACGGGAGCTCACCCCGTCGCAGGGATTCGAACCGCCAACCTTCTGATCGGCAAGTCCTAGGCTCTGTGGTTTAACCCACAGTGCCACCCGCCTCCCTCTGTATATAAGACTGTAAATAAAGTAGTTTTAGAACTACGAGTGAGTCTTTCTTCTGCTATGATATGCCAGAAGACTGGCGTGCTCTTTTCAGGAGAGAAGAGTTGCTTATTACCGGCCGCTCTTGACTGAAGAAGATTTATAGCCAGAGAGAGCCACAGGGGAATGCTCCGGTGACTTGGGGAAGTTTGCAGAAGAAGAAGAAGAAGAGTTTGTATTTGATATCCCGCTTTATCACTACCTGAAGGAGTCTCAAAACTGCTAACATTCTCCTTTCCCTTCCTCCCCTACAACAAACACTCTGTGAGGTGAGTGAGGCTGAGAGACTTCAGAGAAGTGTGACTGGCCCAAGGTCACTCAGCAGCTGCATGTGGAGGAGCGGAGATGCGAACCCGGTTCCCCAGATTACGAGACTACCGCTCTTAACCACTACACCACACTGGCAGCCTTCCCAGGGCATTTTTCCAACACCAACATGGCCAATCAATGGTCAAGGATGATGGGAGTTGTACTCCAATATCACCAGGAAGGTACCCTTGCTCCTGCCACCATAGTTGCTTGCTTGAAAGCCAAACGGATAATAATACCTGGTCATAAAGTTCATCAGCCATGGTGGGCTTTGGTGCTGTGGTCCATTTTGATCCGCGGCGGAAGTACTCTTTGATGATGGGCCGATACGCTCTGTATTCAAAGAAACGAGCGCGCCAAGCCATCGGCGCTTCAATGATCTCATTCCCAATGACCAGCAGAATGTCTCTTGGCATAGCTGCGTACATCCCTACCAAAAGAACAAAGTGTTTGATATGGGGATCCAATCAACAGCGGCACAAATCCTGCACACCGGATCCCAGTCAAGGTTCGATTTTGCTCAGTAGCAACCCAGTGGAAGAGGGAGTGAAGTTTCCACACATCAAGCGAAAAAACAAACAAACCACAGGCTACTGAAGGTAACCGAAACAAATCAACTTGATTCCCAGCGTCGGTTTGCCAAAACGTGTTAGGACCCAACCTTCTTTTGGGGACATGGCTGTGTTTCTGCCACTCTTAACCAGAATGCCAAGCCTTTATCAAAAAGCAGCAAAACACTGCACTCAATTTCAAGTAGTTTGTATGGGGCAGACAAACATTTTAGCTTGTCATCCATTTTAATCCATCATGGCTGCTCCACTGTGTGCCTAAAGCACATCACAACAGCATAACAGTATGTCTATGTAGGCCTAGCAAGATCTAGATCAGGGGCCGACAGCCTAAGGCCCATGTGCCACAAGTGGCCCACAGGGGTCATTTTACCGGCCCACGAGCTGCCCCCAAACCGAGCCACCCGCTCGGCGAGTTCCCGCGTGCTGCGTTAAACTGGCGCAGTGCGGTGTGGGGACTCGCCGAGTAGCGCCAGAAATCGTGTCTGCGCAGACACAGATGCTGAAAATTGTGGACACGCACACTCACACACGCCCGCAATCGGGCCCACGGAGGGGTCTCCATGGCAGTGAACCGGCCCAGGCAAGGTAAGTGTTATGTACTGAGTTGAATAGGATCCAAAATGCAGCCGTCTGATTGGTCCTAGAAAAATAGGATTCAGAATGCAGCAGCCTGATTGGTCCTAGAACAATAGGATCCAGAATGCAGCAGTCTGATTGGTCCACAGGAGCCACCCAATCCAGCTCCAGGTGGAAGTGAATCCGCAACCTGATTGGCCTACAGGAGAATCCCGGAATTAGCCAATCATGTGGGGTCCATTGTGTAAATAATGTATATAAAGCAGACATTCTGGGGGAACTTCCATTCCTCCTCACCACTATGAGCTGAATAAAGAGCATGAAATCCACTCTCGACTCCGAGTATATTTCAGTAAGCCTTGCCAACCCCTGATCTAGATTAACAGAAGGGACTGTACTGTTTTACTGTAAACAACATGCATCCCCTGTGAAACTATAGATAGCAATACACTAAGTTGCTTAACGGTAGGCTACTGTTGTCCTTTATGAATTGTCACAAGGACTTTAAAGTTTTTTTGTTTTTTTAAAAAAGAGGAAACAAATCTCATCAATAACGAATAAACAATACATTATAAAATAATGAGGAGACGGAGACGTGGTTCACATCCACAATGTACATTTTAAGCATGTTTTTACCACTTTTCGCAATCATGGCTTCCTCCAAAGAATCCTGCAGCTTACCCATCACAGAGCTACAATTCCCGGCACCCTTAAACTACATTTCCCAGGATTCCCAGGTGCTTTACATGTACGGCTTAGATGTGGGCATGCTCTAAATCGATTCTGCACATTCCAAGTCACTGAGCAATTACCGGTGGACTCAAAGTCAGGCGTTTTATATTTGGTCGACCAGTCAAGTGGCTCTGGTCTTCTCACAATCACTCCTTCCATTTTCAGAATATTGCACATCTCTTCGATTTCAGCAATCGCTTTCTTCACATGATCCTTGGGGAAACTCTGGCCTCCATACTTCTGATAGAACCCCCAGTACTTCTCATAGGTATTCGCCTGGTAATCAATAAAGAAAAAGCAGACATGAACCAGCATCATATTAACATTGCAAAGAATCACTCTGTATTCATCTACTAACAGTTAAACAACAGTATGTCAATCTCATAGGACTTGTATATTCAGGTGATTGCATTTTCTGTAATTCTAAGTTTTTAAAACTATTTTTGAATAGTATTACATCTGCTCAACAACCACAGCTAATTTTTCCCCTTCCCACTCTTATTTCAAAGCTTTTTTTGTCTTTGTATCAGAAAGGCACATGGATAATTTGGTTGCCAATAAATATCGCTGCAAACATTTATGAGATCATGGTCTTTCCAATGATTGGCTCTTGTCTAGGTTTGTTAATTGTCTTACTTTGAATGTTGTGAGGATCCTATGCCCTTTTGAAATGTGCTTTTTTGGAGTGGGGGTTATTGGGTTGTTGTTTTTATTTTGATTATGTATTTTGTGGTTTTATATTTGGATTTTATTCTGTGAACCGCCCTGAGACCTCCGGGTATAGGGCGGTAAATAAATAAATAAATAAATAAATAAAGTATTTTAAATTGTCATAACCAAGCCATGTGAGGGTAATAAATTAAAATTATTATGAGAAAATAACAGGACAAGAAATAGAGGGTGCCATTCAGAAGATGCAATTGGGAAAAGCTCCAGGACCAGATGGTTTGACCGCCAGATATTATAAAGGGTTGAAGGAATGGTTAGTACAACCACTGAAGGAAGTATGTAACGAAATTTTGGTGGGGAAAAGGCACCAGAGTCGTGGAAAGAAGCTTTTATCTCACTTATACCGAAAACTGAGACTGAAAAGAACCAGGTTAAAAACTACCGCCCTATATCATTACTTAACGTGGATTACAAAATTTTTGCGGACATTATGGCAAAAAGACTGAAGAGAGTGTTGGTAGGGGAGATTCATAAAGACCAAACTGGCTTTCTTCCAGGGAGATATATGTCGGACAATGTGAGGAACATTATAGACATTTTGGAACTGTTAGAAGTGGACATTAATAGGAAGGCTGTTTTAATTTTTGTGGATGCGGAGAAAGCCTTTGACAATATTGGTTGGAGCTTTATGAAGAAGAATCTCCAAGGGATGGGGGTAGGTCAAGGGTTTGAAAATGGTATAGGTGCAATATACTCTAAACAAAAAGCAAAGTTAATTGTAAACAATGTGGTTACGGAAGAAATACCTATAGAAAAAGGTACACGACAGGGGTGCCCAATATCCCCTTTACTTTTTATATTAGTCCTGGAGGTTTTGCTAAATATGATTAGAGGAGACCAGTTGGTTAAAGGAGTACAAGTCGGAGCCAAACATTATAAGCTAAGGGCATTTGCAGATGACCTAGTATTGACCTTGCAACAGCCAGATACTAGTACTAAAAGAGTATTAGAACTAATTGAGATATTTGGTCAAGTAGCAGGATTTAAACTGAACAAACAGAAAACGAAAGTGTTGGACAAAAATTTAACGTTGGCCGAAAAGAGAAATTTCAGAATGAAACAGGTCTAGTGATAACGAAAAAGTAAAGTACCTGGGGGTAAACTTAACATCTAAGAATGTGAATTTATTTAAGGACAATTATGATAAATGTTGGACAGAGGTAAAGAAGGATCTAGAAATATGGTCAAGGTTGAAACTTTCTTTGTTAGGCCGAATTGCTGTTATCAAGATGAATGTATTGCCTAGAATGTTGTTTTTATTCCAGACATTGCAGATTTTGGACAAGATGGACTGTTTCAAGAAGTGGCAGAAAGATATATCTAAATTTGTCTGGCAGGGCAAAAGCCCAGAATAAAATTTAAGATTCTAACTGATGCTAAAGATAGAGGGGGGTTTGCCCTGCCGGACTTAAGACTCTACTATGAATCGGCGGCTTTCTGCTGGTTGAAACAGTGGCTACTTCTTGAGAATACAGATATTTTGGATCTAGAAGGGTTTGATAATAGATTTGGTTGGCATGCATATATATGGTATGATAAGGTTAAACTGCATAAAGGTTTCAAAAACCATATTGTTAGGAAAGCATTATATAATGTTTGGATGCGGTATAAAGATCTATTGGAAAGTAAAACTCCCAGGTGGTTGTCACCAATGGAAGCTAAAGAGGTGAAAAAAACTTAATATGGAGTCTAAATGGCCAAAATATTGTGAAATTCTAGAACAAGATGGGGAAAAAGTTAAATTACAGAGCTATGAGAAATTAAAGTCCAAAGTGCGAGATTGGTTGCACTACCTTCAGATAAACGAGACATTTAAACAGGACAGGAAAATAGGTTTCCAGATGGAGAGGTCAAAATTAGAAACAGAACTGTTAGAACCCAATACTAAGAATCTGTCGAGAATGTATAATCTGCTGTTGAAATGGAACACACAGGATGAAACGGTGAAATCAGCTATGATAAAATGGGCACAAGATATTGGTCATAACATTATGTTTGCTGACTGGGAACAGTTGTGGACCACCGGTATTAAATTTACGGCATGTAATGCCTTAAGAGAAAACATTATGAAAATGATGTATAGGTGGTACATGACCCCAGTCAAGCTCGCAAAAATTTATCATCTGCCCAATAACAAATGTTGGAAATGTAATGAGACTGAAGGTACTTTTTATCACCTTTGGTGGACCTGCCCGAGGATAAAAGCTTTTTGGGAAATGATCTATAATGAAATTAAGAAGGTTCTTAAATGGACCTTCCCTAAAAAAACCCGAGGCTTTTCTCCTGGGCATTGTCGGCCAATTGGTGAGCAGGAAGGACAGGACGTTTTTATGTATGCGACTACAGCAGCAAGGATTCTTCTAGCAAAGTATTGGAAGACACAACAACTACCCACACTGGAAGAATGGCAGACGAAGGTGATCGACTATATGGGACTGGCGGAATTGACTGGCAGAATCCGTGACCAGGGGAAAGAGACAGTGGAAGAAGATTGGAAGAAATTTAAAGTTTATCTTAGAACTTGTTGCAAAATTCAGGAATGTTAAAATGTCAAGGGGTTGGGAAATAGAGAACTGCAGCTGTAATTAATATTATTAGAAGAACTTAAAAGAAATTGAATTGAATAATTAGTTGATTGAGGAGTTGCTGAAGAAATATAAAACAAGGATGCAGAAAAGGGGAGGTATGGGGAAGTCCGGAAAGTAAGGCTTATGAAAAATGGTTATGAAATTATACATGTTTATATGTTTGTATGTCGGTGTATTGTGTATTGTTTGTTTTCTTATCTTGTGTTTGGAAAATGAATAAAAATTTATTTAAAAAAAAAAAAAAATAAATTAAAATTATTGCTATTCACATGGCACCTGAATCACATGGCACCACTGCAACTGCAAGCAGCAGAAATTCCACTGAGAAGAATAAGAGGGATTGCCGGACAGTTTTCCATAGAGTCCTGGGCTTAGACTAGAAAGACCTGAGTTCAAATCCCCATTCAGCACAAAGTTAACTGGGCAACCTCGCGTCAGCCTTTCCTCCCTCTATTATTTATTTGCCGCCCATGGGTTGTCCCAGCCACTCTGGGCTTCTTCTAGCAAAATATAAAAACACAAGGAACATTATTACATTGGCAATTTCTACTCCTGTTTCGATCAAAATTGTTCAACATCCCTAGTTAAGACTTGTAGGAATTGGGTGCAGTGACTGCCATTAAGTCAGCTGCCTTAGGGAAGGGGGTACCTGACCCGAACCTTCTTTTTTGAGCCTGCTTTCTTCCTCCTCCCTCCAGTTCAATTTTCCTCACGTGTCATGACTTTTTAGACAGTGAGCCTCAAGTCAGAAACCACCTTAGTACTGATTTATGTACTATTTATAAATTTAGTACTATTTATCTACTTGCACTTTGACGTGCTTTCGAACTGCTAGGTTGGCAGGAGCAGGGACTGAGCAACAGGAGCTCACCCCGTTGCGGGGATTCGAACCTCCAACCTTCTGATCGGCAAGTCCTAGACTCTGTGGTTTAACCCACAGTGCCACCCGCGTCCCTCACTACAGTGGTACCTGGGGTTAAGAACTTAATTCGTTCTGGAGGTCCATTCTTAACCTGAAACTGTTCTTAAACTGAAGCACCACTTTAGCTAATGGGGCCTCCTGCTGTCACTGCGCCGCCGGAGCACAATTGCTGTTCTCATCCTGAAGCAAAGTTCTTAACCCGAGGTACTATTTCTGGGTTAGTGGTATCTGTAACCTGAAGCGTATGTAACCCGAGGTACCACTCTACAATACATTTGTCACCTTCCTCTTATGTACATGCAGAAAAAAACCCATAAGGTAGTAGTGGAATGAGTGTTGCAGCCAGCCGCCTTCCACAGAATGCAAGCAAAGCTTTGAACATATGCAATTCATTATATGTGAATGCCACGTATTAAGGCTTTGAACAAGTCAATGAATAAGTGAATGTGGCTTTTAAAAAATAAATAAATAAATACTGCCCCCTGCCCCCCCCCCACTGGCTGCTAAAAAAAGAGGTCAGCAGAGCAGTGATCTCAGCCAACAGTGCACATCTGTGACTGTATTTAAGTTTCAGTAGGGAAATGTTAAGAAGGCCTTTAGACAGCTAGAAGATGAATTGCTGCAGCGGCGGCCAAATGTACAGTACACAGCCCGAGATTTTCTGCCAGCAGGACTCAGTCCTGGAGACTCAGAAATGGCCTGGAATGAAACCTGTAACATAAGCACGACCTTCAGAGACTGCCAGCTCAGCAACTCGTAGCCTACATGTCAAACCGCTTGTTGCAGGCTGTGATAAATGCACTTCTTTAAAATAATAAAAAAAACCACCCTTTTAAAAATAAAATATATAAAAGTGGTTTGCTACCCTCTCAACTCTGCTGGGAAACTGTCGCAAACTTCCCTTGGTGTCATTCCAGGGGCCTGGAGACTCTTATCAGAAGCCACACAAGTACAAGATTACAATGGTACCTCGGGTTAAGTACTTAATTCGTTCCGGAGGTCTGTTCTTAACCTGAAACTGTTCTTAACCTGAAGCACCACTTTAGCTAATGGGGCCTCCTGCTGCCGCCGCGCCGCCAGAGCACGATTTCTGTTCTTATCCTGAAGAAAAGTTCTTAACCTGAAGCACTATTTCTGGGTTAGCAGAGTGTGTAACCTGAAGCGTATGTAACCCGAGGTACCACTGTATCAGGAAACAGGTGTTTTCAAACAGGTTACATACGCTTCAGGTTACACACTCCACTAACCCAGAAATAGTGCTTCAGGTTAAGAACTTTGGATCCATGGATCCAAGAAAATATTTAGGGGCATCTGTTTCCATTTTAAATTCTGCCACCCTAGGGTTGCCAGACGGGACGCGGCTGGTGCTGTGGGTTAAACCACAGAGCCTAGGACTTGCCGATCAGAAGGTCGGCGGTTCAAATCCCCACGATGGGGTGAGCTCCCGTTGCTCAGTCCCTGCTCCTGCCAACCTAGCAGTTCAAAAGCACGTCAAAGTGCAAGTAGATAAATAGGTACCGCTCCAGCGGGAAGGTAAACGGCGTTTCCGTGCGCTGCTCTGGTTCACCAGAAGTGGCTTAGTCATGCTGGCCACATGACCCGGAAGCTGTATGTCGGCCAATAAAGCGAGATGAGCGCTGCAACCCCAGAGTCGGCCACGACTGGACCTAATGGTCAGGGGTCCCTTTACCTTTACCTTTATATGGCAACCCTATGCAATCCCTCCGAAAATTGACCTGTGAAGCAGCTCCGTCTCTTAGCAGTTTCTTGCTTCACTTGCTAAACTGCATCGCTTCCATGTGCCGACACAACTGTCAAGCCACTCAAATGTTATCAGTGTATTTACTTCTCTACCTGCAGGCAATAGTGTTCTTTGCAGCCAGATTAATCTGGCAGCATGCAAATGTCAAACAAGATCTGGAAAACGAATGCTGGGCTGACAGCGCAGCTGAATGAATGTTGACTCTAAAGTAATTCTCATTGTGCTCAGTAATCCTTCCTCCTTAGCAAGCGTGTTTAGGGTTTGCTCTCTAAATAAACTGTGAAAGTAAGTGCAGAAGCAGGATATAATAAAATTAATATGGGCTTGTCAACCAGCAGCCCGAGTTCCGGATCTGATAGCCCCAAGGGTGTCTTTTTTAAAAAAAATTCCTGACAAAGTTTTCACTGCCCGTCCCTGGTTTGACTCAAGAGCAGTTTTCCATGTTTCCTCCGTGTGTCAGCTAATGGAAATTGCACTCCGAAATATCTGAAGGAAACCAGCTTGATGAAGGCTGCTCTTACTACTTCAGGCTACTGACTACTACAGACACTGAGCACTTAGGAGAGATTTTGTGGGGTGAAATAAAGTTTCAGCCCCACACTTTTACAACTGCTGCATAGAGTAGGTAGCCCACCCCACCCCCAGCTCCACTACAAGAATACAGTGGTACCTCGGGTTAACTACTTAATTCGTTCCGGAGGTCCGTTCTTAACCTGAAACTGTTCTTAACCTGAAGCACCACTTTAGCTAATGGGGCCTCCCGCTGCCGCTGCGCGATTTCTGTTCTCATCCTGAAGCAAAGTTCTTAACCCGAGGTACTATTTCTGGGTTAGCGGAGTCTGTAACCTGAAGCGTATGTAACCTGAGGTACCACTGTACAGAACTTGGCCACCCTTTACTTACAGGGTTATCTGGAGGTTTAGAGTATGTTGCCAACAATATGCTGATGACACAAATCTCTATTTTCTCCTTTACTTCTGCAGGCATGGCAGTGGAGGTGCTGGACGGATGTCTTGCCTCGGAAATGGAAATGAGAGCCAACAAACTCAAGCTCAATCCAGATAAGATGGAGGCCCTGCGAGTGGCAGTTCCCCAGACTGGATGGCTGGGAGATTGCCAGCTCTTGATGGCATTACACTCCCTCTGAAGGAGCTGGTTCACAGCTTGAGGGTATTCCTTTGCTATCGCTTGAGGCTCATGTGGCCTCAGTGGCGCTGAGTACCTTCTATTAGCTTTTGGCTGGTGGCCCAGCTGCACCACTACTGTATCTGCAAAGGGATAGCCTAACTGCTGTTGTTTATGCTCTGGTAACCTCTAGGTTAGATTACCGCAACGTGTTATACATAGGGCTGCCTTTGAAGACTGTTCAGAAACTTCAGCTGGTGCAGAATTTGGCAGCCAAGCTGCTCACCGGGGCAAAATAGTTTTACAGTCAGTATTACCCTGACTAAACCAGCTGCCAATTAGTTTCTGGGCCCAATTCAAAGTGTCTGTCTGAGCTTGCAATTCCCTCCTTGTAAGAGCTACAAAATTGGAAGCAAGCCATTTTTTTTTCTTGCAATAACTTTTATTTACAAATTGATTGGGAATAGCAGGCAGGCACCCAGACAGAAAGAATCCCGTACTCGTAGCAAAACAGACATTTGTAAAAGCCTGTTATTGCAAAACCTCTCCAGCGTTTGCAGAAGTGGGAAGCTGCAAAGAGCATGCATAAAGTCTTGCGACGCAGACAGCACATGGTTTACCTTGACCTCCACAGAGAAAGGAGGGACGCAGGCATTTTCGGCTCTCCCCACAATGACTTCCTCCAGCGGGTCCCATTCGTTGTATGAGCAAACAGGGCAATCCTCGGGAACAGGGTCAGGGGCCTTGTTATTTTCATCAGCAACAGCACAGGTCGTCTGGGAGGCTGCTGCCGCGTGGGTGCTCTGGAAAGTTCGCTGCACCCATCCTGTGAAGACGCGTCCAAGCTTTAATGAAAAAACAAAAAGTGGGGGGGGAGGTCGTCACTTCATTCATTTAGATTATTTAAACATCATTCTGCTAAGCGAGGAGCCAAGGGGCTAGACCTCATGATCTCGACAGCACACACACACACACACACACACACACACCCCAAGAAGCTCCATCCTCACAGCGGCCAAGACAACGATTCTCTTCTAGGGAAGAAAGGTTCTTCATGTCATTTGCCTCGAGTATTTGAATGGCAAGATTCTTTATTATTATTATTATTAAAGGTTTTCTTGTTTTACAGAAGTATGTGTAATGTCTCTCGTATTTTTTCCATGTAACATTTTTACAAATCAGTTTCATTTGTTGAGACATTGGGGGGGAAGGGGTGGAGGGGGGAAGATGGGTGCGGGTGGGATCGGGTGGCAATAATAATAATAATAATAATAATAATAATAATAATAATAATTTATTATTTATACCCTGCCCATCTGGCTGGGTTTCCCCAGCCACTCTGGGCGGCTTCCAACAAAACACTAAAATACAATACAGTGGTGCCCCGCAAGACGAATGCCTCGCAAGACGGAAAACCCGCTAGACAAAAGGGTTTTCCGTTTTCAATGCGCTTCGCAGGACGAATTTCCCTATGGGCTTGCTTCGCAAGACGAAAATGTCTTGCAAGTCTTGAGATTTTTTTTTCGCTTTCCCCCCCTCTTTTTCTAAGGCGCTAAGCCTTTAATAGCCTTTTAGCAGCTAATCCGCTAAGCCGCTAAGCCTTTAATAGCCGCTAAACCGCTAATAGCGCTAATCCGCTAAGGCACTAATAGGGTTGCTTCGCAAGACGAAAAAACCGCTAGACGAAGATACTCGCGGAATGGATTAATTTCGTCTTGCGAGGCACCACTGTAATCTATTAAACATTAAAAGCTTAAGCTCTATTTTGCTTAATGTATGTAGGGTTTGGTATCAGAGTTGCTCGTGCAGGTTCTCTGCTGTACATTTGTGTTTCTTTGGTGGTGAGAGAGGTTGGGGTTGGCCTAAGGTGTAGTTGTTTGTTTGTGATTGGCTGTAGTGATCTTTGTTTTCGTGTGGGGAAAGATTTTTTTTTAAAAAGAAAGTAAATTTTAGTGCCTCACCCACTTGCAAGCAGGTTCATGCATTATCTGTGCAAATGAACTCATCGTGTGTGAGATTGCTTGCACCAGCAATGTGCAGAATCGTGATTTCTTTTCCCTGTGAGCAGGAACATTGCAAGTGCTCGAACATTCACCTGAATGCACAGTGAGTAAAAGTGGGGGGTGGGGCATGCCTGCAAGCCCCCCCTCCACAAAGTCTTCCAGCTGCTCTTCAGATCTACAATTAGCAAAGAAAGGAAACCAGTTCGAAGGGAGGTTTCAAAGCACGTTCAGTCAAAGACACTTTTTAAAAGCCTTCAGCCCTTCATGCTAGTTGCACAAAAATAGGAAGACTAATGCTGAACAGCGCAATTTATTTTCCTGTGCTTGAAGAGAACTCTCAAGCCTCAAAGCACAAAGACCCAGTTCAGGAAACCCAGCTTAGGAAAAAGAAATGAGCTCAAGCATTGCTGCCTTCTTGTGCTCATAAAAAGTCCCCAAGAAACTTTATGTTTTTCTGAAAATGCAGTAAGTGAAATCAGGTGCAGGCACAAAAGTGTACACAAGTCCTGTCTCCAACACCCCAGACCAGAAGCATGGGACCTGATTTGAGTTTGCTCTGGGCCCCACAAACCCTCTGAGCAGCTCCACAGGAGGGGCTGTGTTGCATGCAAGATCCTGGGCAGCTGCGCAGGGTCTATTTGCAGAGGGAGAGTAAACGCAAAGCACTCCAGGGAAGGAAGCAACTGTGCCGACTGCCCTATATCACCAGAAAACATTCGGTGGAGCGGGGCCAGCAGCTGGCGCTTCATGAATTGGACAGCAAGCAGTAAGAATTTCAGCACCGGGAGTGAGCAGTCAACAAAAGCTGCTACTGTAAACGTATCCAAGCCAGGACATGACACAACACACCTCACCGGGGAGAGGGATCTTTACAAAAGATGGTCTGCTACAGAGCCAAGGCTCTCCCCATACTTCCAACATACGCTCCAACATTTCTCCGATGAAAATAGGGACGTCCTATGTCATTATTATTAATATTATTATTATACCTGTATACCGGTCCTATATACCTGAAGGAGCGTCTCCACCCCCATCATAGAATCATAGAGTTGGAAGAGACCACAAGGGCCATCGAGTCCAACCCCCTGCCAAGCAGGAAACACCATCAGAGCACTCCTGACATATGGTTGTCAAGCCTCTGCTTAAAGACCTCCAAAGAAGGAGACTCCACCACACTCCTTGGCAGCAAATTCCACTGTCGAACAGCTCTTACTGTCAGGAAGTTCTTCCTAATGTTTAGGTGGAATCTTCTTTCTTGTAGTTTGGATCCATTGCTCCGTGTCCGCTTCTCTGGAGCAGCAGAAAACAACCTTTCTCCCTCCTCTATGTGACATCCTTTTATATATTTGAACATGGCTATCATATCACCCCTTAACCTCCTCTTCTCCAGGCTAAACATGCCCAGCTCCCTTAGCCGTTCCTCATAAGGCATCGTTTCCAGGCCTTTGACCATTTTGGTTGCCCTCCTCTGGACACGTTCCAGTTTGTCAGTGTCCTTCTTGAACTGTGGAGCCCAGAACTGAACACAGTACTCCACGTGAGGTCTGACCAGAGCAGAATACAGTGGCACTATTACTTCCCTTGATCTAGATGCTATACTCCTATTGATGCAGCCCAGAATTGCATTGGCTTTTTTAGCTGCCGTGTCATACTGTTGGCTCATGTCAAGTTTGTGGTCAACCAAGACTCCTAGATCCTTTTCACATGTACTGCTCTCAAGCCAGGTGTCACCCATCTTGTATTTGTGCCTCTCATTTTTTGCCCAAGTGCAATACTTTACATTTCTCCCTGTTAAAATTCATCTTGTTTGTTTTGGCCCAGTTCTCTAATCTGTCAAGGTCGTTTTGAAGTGTGATCCTGTCCTCTGGGGTGTTAGCCACCCCTCCCAGTTTGGTGTCATCTGCAAATTTTATCAGGATGCCCTTGAGTCCATCATCCAAGTCGTTGATAAAGATGTTGAATAAGACCGGGCCCAAGACAGAACCCTGTGGCACCCCACTAGTCACTCAGTGTCCATCCTTCAGCCCGGACACTGAGATCCAGCGCCAAGGACCTTCTGGCGATTCCCTCATTGTGAGAAGTAAGGCTACAGGGAACCAGGCAGAGGGCCTTCTCGGTAGTGGTGCCTGCCCTGTGGAACGCCCTCCCAGCAGATGTCAAGGCAATAAACAACTATTTTACTTTTAAAAGACAACTGAAGGCAGCCCTCTTTAGGGAAGTTTTTAATATCTAATGCTGTATTGTTTTTAATATTCAGTTGGAAGCCGCCCAGAGTGGCTGGGGAAACCCAGCCAGATGGGCGGGGTATAAATAATAAATTATTATTATTATTATTATTATTATTATTATTATTATTTTATTATTTTATTTTTTTTACTCTTTTTACCCCACCCATTTGACTGGGCTGCCCCAGCCACTCTGGGCAGCTTACAACATATATAAAAACATAACTAAACATTTTAAAACTTCCCTATACAGGGCGGCCTTCAGATGGCTATGGAGTTGGATAACTCATTTCTCTGATGAAAATAGGGATGTCCTAAGGAGAAGTGGGACATTCCGGGATCAAATTTGATTTACAGATGGCTTCTGTAAATCTGGGACTATCCCTGGATATTTGGGACTGTCCCTGGAAAAGAGGGACACCTGGATAATAAGAATAAGAATAAGAATAAGAATAATTTATTTATATCCCACCCATTTGGCTGGGTTTCCCCAGCCACTCTGGAGGGTCTGTTCCAATTAACATGAGACATGCAGGAAATTGTCTGGCACAATCCCCCCTGATGTTTATGTAGTGATGCTGGACTGGTCTGGAACTCCCTTCGCTGCATGAGGATTGGAGCCACGGTTGTCTTGCACTGCTCTTCATCCAAGCTGCTTCACCTTGTCTCAAGGGGTGGAGAAACTCTTGCAGCCCATGGGCCAAGTTCCATTCTGGGCAACCTTCTGGGTACCACATGTCAGCAGTGGAAGGAGGCAACAGTCATCAGAAAAAAACATAAATAATACCTTTTGTACGAGGCTGGTTTCTATACACGCTCATGCATCCCTCTGGTCACAGCTCAAGGACTCATTCCAGCCAGGCAAAATCACTCAAGCAGGGTGCAAAGTTTGAAATTCACCAGGCGCGTTTTGCACCTGGTTGTTGGCCACTTGCAACCAAGTGAAAATTCCCTGGGGGGGCAGAATGCTGCCTAATGCATGGGTAGGCAAACTAAGGCCTGGGGGCCAGATCCAGCCCAATCGCCTTCTAAATTCGTCCCTTGGACAGTCCAGGAATCAGTGTGTTTTTAAGCCTTCTGGGAAATGATATATAATGAACTAAAAAAGGTATTGAAATATACTTTCTTGAAGAAACCAGAGGCCTTCCTCTTGGGCATGGTCGACCAATTGGTGCGAAGGGAAGACAGGAATTTCTTTATGTATGCGACAGCAGCGGCAAGAATACTTATTGGGAAACACTGGAAGACACAAGAATTGCCTACCCGAGAAGAATGGCAGAGAAAAGTGATAGACTATATGGAACTGGCTGAGATGACCGGCAGAATTCGAGATCAGGAAGAAGGGTCGATGGAAGAAGATTGGAAAAAATTTAAAATATATCTTCAGAAACACTGTAATATAAAAGAATGTTAGAAAAGGTTGGAGAAGAATATTAGACCGTATTGGCAGACAGAGTATAATGGAATAAGTAAATATGAAGTGTAAAACAAAGATAGAGAAGAATTAAATACTTTCGAATGTTAAAATAAGTAAATGAAAAGAAGGTTAGAAGGATTTGCTGGAGATACGATTTAAATTAGAATACAAAGCAGAGAGGTGAGAGGAAGTCACGGAAATAAGTAAATGGGAAGACGGTTCTAATGGTCTAATTTGATTTTTTGTTACTTTTTTATTGTGATTTTTTGTCTTTTGTATTTTTCTTTGTATTGTTAGCTTTTTTTGTAAGATGTATGTGATTTGGTTTTTTTTTCTACTTCTTTCTTTTTCTGTAATTTTAAAATTGGAATAAATATTCTTAAAAAAAAAAAGAATCAGTGTGTTTTTATATGAGTAGAATGTGTCCTTTTATTTAAAATAGATAAAAGTATTTATTTAAAATGTATCTCTGGGTTATTTGTGGGGCCTGCCTGGTGTTTTTACATGAGTAGAATGTGTGATCTTATTTAAAATGAATCTCTGGGTTATTTGTGGGGCATAGGAATTCGTTCATATTTTTTTCAAAATATAGTCCACCCCCCCCCACAAGGTCTGAGGGACAGTGGACCAGCTGCCCGCTGAAAAAGTCCGCTGACCCCTGGCCTAATGTCTCCACCATCTGGAGGTATGTCCCCGGAGATCTTAAAAATAAATAAATAAATAAATAATTTATACCCCACCCATCTGGCTGGGTTTCCCCAGCCACTCTGGGCGGCTTCCAACAAAAGATTTAAAATACATTAAAACATCAGTCATTAAAAACTTCCCTTGACTGTCTTCACACACATCAGCAACACATCCTGCAGAATTTTCTACCCATTATATTTCATCTGCACAATCAGAATGAATTTCAGGAACCAAAAAGTCACATTGAAAAATATGACTTTCGAACCATCTGGCCCAGAAATGGCAACTAGGCATTCCGTTTTGGCAACACTGACCCTGGTTTAAGGAGCCATTTGGTGCCTAGCTTATATATCTGAGTTTCTAACACTGCCTGCGGAGAGTGGGGTGCAGCTGGGAAGGGCCAGATAGGAGGCCTGGAGGGCCACATTGCAGGGGCTTAGCTTCCTACCCAGAAAGTAGAATATAAGGGAGAGAGGATTGGCTCCAGTTCTCCAGTGCCGTGTGTACACAGTAGACGGCACTTTTCTGAAGCTGGGGCTTCTACCTCCATTCAAGGCATAACATATAGGGATATACGCTTGGCTTGCTCCCCCCCGCCCCCCCAAAAAAACTGTTCCGGCATAACTGGATCAGGCTTGAGGGCAATCTCTCCCTGCTGTGCAAAGCTGAGCATTCCAAGCCACTTAAAAGAAGCTGGTTGCAGTTGTTCCACACCAGCTGTTGGGAAAGGCTAGACAGCGAAGCTGCGGATGAGCAAATATGCCCTATCCTGTTGCAGACTGTTAATGATCAACATTCCCCAACCCAATATGGGAGGGGTATGCATGCCTGCTGGCTCAGCAAAAGAGAGGGAACGGCGGGAGAGAAATAACCCTTCCCTACATGAGGCATGGGGACGCGGGTGGCGCTGTGGGTTAAACTGCAGAACCTAGGACTTGCCGATCAGAAGGTCGGCAGTTCGAATCCCCGCCACAGGGTGAGCTCCCATTGCTCAGTCCCTGCTCCTGCCAACCTAGCAGTTTGAAAGCACAAAAGTGCAAGTAGATTAATAGGTACCACTCTGGCGGGAAGGTAAACGGCATTTTCGTGCGCTGCTCTGGTTCGCCAGAAGCGGCTTAGTCATGCTGGCCACATGATCCGGAAGCTGTACACTGGCTCCCTCGGCCAATAAAGCGAGATGAGCGCCACAACCCCAGAGTTGGCCACAAGTGGACCTAACGGTCAGGGGTCCCTTTACCCTTTACCTTTACGTGAGGCATGCTGGCAGATGCAAAGGGGAGCCACACAATTGAAAGGGTTGCCTTCCCCCCACCCAAGACAGATCAGATCTTGGCTCTAACACAAGGAAACATCAGCGGCATCTACAGTAAAAAAGGGAAAGGGTAAAGGGACCCCTGACCGTTAGGTCCAGTCGTGGCCGACTCTGGGGTTGCGGCACTCATCTCGCTTTACTGACCGAGGGAGCTGGCATACAGCTTCCGGGTCATATGACCAGCATGACTAAGCCGCTTCTGGCAAACCAGAGCAGTGCACGGAACCACCATTTACCTTCCCGCCGGAGTGGTACCTATTTATCTAATTGCACTTTGACGTGATTTCAAACTGCTAGGTTGGCAGGAGCAGGGACCGAGCAATGGGAGCTCACCCTGTCGTGGGGAATCGAACCACTACAGTATGTAGCTTGCCACAAATCTGGGCTTTGGGTGTAAGGGCTAGATCAATCCTAAGAGGAAAAGCAGTGTATCTGCTTGGAGATAAATGGGCAGAGTCCTCTCCCTGGGCCAGAGAAAGGATCCTGTAAATAAATATATTTTTTAAGAAGTGCACACACCAGATGTGGCCAATATGCTAACTGTGATTGTACTTTAAGGAACATACGAACTCTGCTAGATCATACCAACATCCTCTCTGGTCTTGCATTCTGCAGCCAGCCAGACGTTAGGAGGGATGTGGTTGGCTCTGTGGTCATCATCATCATCATCCTTTTTATTCGACCGTCAGTCAGAAAAAAATACATTTTATCAATACACAGTTAAAACATCCAGGAAGATTTTAAAACTTAGCCAACACTAAAATGGGCTAAACAGATAGCCCCATGCTCTGTGGTCTAAACCACTGAACCTCTTGGGCTTGCCGATCAGAAGGTTGGCGGTTCGAATCCCCGTGATGGGGTGAGCTCCTGTTGCTCTGTCCCAGCTCCTGCCAACCTAGCAGTTCGAAAGCACGCCAGTGCAAGTAGATAAATAGGTATCACTGCTGCGGGAAGGTAAATGGTGTTTCCATGCGCTCTGGTTTCTGTCAAGGTGTTCCGTTGCACCAGAAGTGGTTTAGTCCTGCTGGCCACATGACCCGGAAAGCTGTCTGTGGACAAATGCCGGCTCCCTCAGCCTGAAAGCAAGATGAGCGCCGCAACCCCAGAGTCGCCTTTGACTGGGCTTTTTAGGAGGGGCTGCAGCCCAGTGCAAGTAGCATCTCCCTTGCATGCAGAAGATTCCAGGTTCACTCCTGAGCATCTCCAGGTGGGGCTGGGAGAGAAGCTAGTCTGGAATGCTGGAAGGCTGTTGCTAGTTAAGAATGGACCTCCAGAACAAATTAAGTATAAGGCAGCTCAGTACAGTGGTACCTCAGGTTACATACACTTCAGGTTACAGATGCTTCAGGTTACAGACTCTGCTAACCCAGAAATAGTACCTCAGGTTAAGAACTTTGCTTCAGGATGAGAACAGAAATCCTGCTCCAGCGGCATGGCGGCAGCAGGAGGCCCCATTAGCTAAAGTGGTGCTTCAGGTTAAGAACAGTTTCAGGTTAAGAACGGACCTACAGAACGAATTAAGTACTTAACCCGAGGTACCACTGTATAAGGCAGCAGGACAGGAGCGCAACAGCAGCCTCCCTAAATGTATGTTCCAGCAAGTGGTATTCAGATGCATATCACCTCTGCTTACCGCAGGAAATACATAGCCAACTTCACAACTAGCAGACATGGACAGTCTGGGGCAGGAGAGGAAGGAATCTCTTACAGCTGTCAACACAACTGCTGTGTGTCAATCTGAGAAGAATGGCGCACCTTGAACTTTGACACCTCCCTGGTAAGACAAGGCGTGTTGGAGGCTAACTTCTTACCTGATAGTCCACAATGCTAAAGTGCACATTCCAGGACTTGAAGTTAAGTCCTGTTGACAAGGCAGCACCTTCTTTCAGTTAACTCGCTCACAACAGATTACAGTGGTACCTTGGTTCTCGAACTTAATCCGTTCTGGGAGTCCGTTTGACTCCGGAAACCGTTCGAAAACCAAGGCGCGGCTTCCAATTGGCTGCAGGAGCTTCCTGCACTCAATCGGAAGCCGCGTTGGACGTTGGGCTTCCAAAAAACGTTGGGCTTCCAAAAAATGTTCGCAAACTGGAACACTTACTTCCGGGTTTGTGGTGTTCAGGAGCTGAGTTGTTTGACAACTAAGCCGTTCAGGAACCGAAGGTACCACTGTACACACAAAAGCGCAGAAGGAGACAGTTGAGCGTGTTCACATAATGTACCTACTGGGCATTCTTAGTCAAATCGGATTTACAAAATAACACCCATCATTGCTTATTTGAAAAGATCCATACCTGCCTTTCCACTAGCTGTGCCCAAAGCAGCTTTACCAAGATGGCCACCTGCCATGTATGTTCTAGTTGAGATTCCTGCTCTGCAGGGGGTTGGACTAGATGACATTTGGGGTCGCTTCCAGCGAGGCTTCCACAGAGCCTAGGATTTGCTAATCAGAAGGTCGGCGGTTCGAATCCCCACGACGGGGTGAGCTCCTGTTGCTCAGTCCCTGCTCCTGCCAACCTAGCAGTTCGAAAGCACATCAAAGTGCAAGTAGATAAATAGGTACTGCTCCAGCGGGAAGGTAAACGGCATTTCCATGCGCTGCTCTGGTTCGCCAGAAGCGGCTTAGTCAGGCTGGCCACATGACCCGGAAGCTGTACGCAGGCTCCCTCGGCCAATAAAGCGAGATGAGCGCCACAACCCCAGAGTCGGTCACAACTGGACCTAATGGTCAGGGGTCCCTTTACCTTTACCAGCTCTACAATTCTATGATTCTACATGACAAGACAGGGGCCTAGGAAGCAACAGAGGAACACAGGAAGCTGTCAGGCCATTGGGTCCACCTTACTCAACATTGTCTATGTTGATTGGCAGTAGCCAATCGAGGGTTTCAAACAAGATTCTCTCCAAGCTCTACCTGGAGATACTAGGAGGTGAATATGTGTGCAAAGCAGATTCTGTACCACTGAGTTGCAGCCAGGAGGAAAGGAACCTTTACTGTATATTATATATATTCAGGGTGGCTTCCCAACCTTTCCCTCTCCATTTCAGCACCCTCTGTGTCACACCCACAATTTCACATCTCCATTCGATATTTTAATCCTCCCTCCTCCATATTTCAATCAAGACAGACCCCACCATCACCACCACCACCGCTGAAATAAAGGTTTGCTTGCTAGGGTCCAACAACACATGCACTTCATTAGCAAATTACTGTTTAGCAATGCAGGTTTTGCCACGAGGAAGCGGTATGGAAAGGGGTTGATCAGACACGGATTTAGGGGAGCGCGAGCAGTTCGATTGCACGAGGCATGGAGACTTGGGGGGGCGCCGCAACTATGATGTAGAATGGGGGGGCACTGAATTTTGCCGCTGAAGTTTAAGACCCCAGGGTCCGCTGCTGGGTTGATAATACTGGGATTATGTTGCTTTGGTTAAGGATATGCAAGATGCTTGTTTGCAGTAATTGTGTGAGAAACCTAGCAATCCAGAGAAAGGTAAGTTTTCTCTCCAATTTATCAGTACAGTGGTACCTTGGGTTACATACGCTTCAGGTTACATACGCTTCAGGTTACACACTCCACTAACCCAGAAATAGTTCTTCAGGTTAAGAACTTTGCTTCAGGATAAGAACAGAAATCGGGCTCCAGCGGCGTGGCGGCAGCAGGAGGCCCCATTAGCTAAAGTGGTGCTTCAGGTTAAGCACAGTTTCAGGTTAAGAACGGACCTCCGGAACGAATTCAGTACTTAACCCGAGGTACCACAGTACACATTTTCCCCTCTCACCTCCTGCATGCATGGTAATGGGAATGCTCTTGCCACAAATTTGTGTATTTGGATACAGCACATGGTCACACTTTCATACTGGAATCATCCATCCATCCATCCAACCAACCACAAAAAGTATTAATTCCTCAGATGCAGCCAGGAAGCATATAACTCAGCCTGTATGAGGACCACCCCCTTCCACCACTTTGACCATTTTTAAAGCTCACAGACCCTGACATTGTGAAATGGTACATATATGCACACAAAAGGTATGCATTATTTTGTAAAAGTAGCATACATGATGCTGTTCAGCTGGTACCGAACCCCATGCCCAACCAGCCGCTTTAAAACACACCTGCAGCCCCTCTGTCTCTCTCACCTGCCCTGCATATGCAATCCGGACATATACACAACTCCACAGAATATGAAGCTCCGACTCTTGCAATTATGATTATTGCAAGGATTGCAGTGCGAGCAGAGACTGGCTTGGTTAAGGTTAGTGCAATGTGATCATCAGCTCAAGAAGAAGAAATTAGGCAATCTTCACAAGCTGTTTTTTCTTTTATGCACACATAAGCATCAGGTTAAAAAATATATATTTTAAACCCTACAAAGGGCCAGAGATGAGTAAATTAATAGCTGGAAGCAATTTGGACAATGGGACGGGGGAGGGGAAGAGTTTCAAGTGAATTTGGATTTGCTTCCCAAACTTGTAAGCAATATTTTAATTTAAACCATTCACACACACACACCCAAATTATGGAATGTTGGAGAAGTTGAGTTATGGAAATAGTTCTATAAAAATGGAAGCATTGCCTTGGGGTTTTTTAAGGCATTTAAACCTGAAAGTTAAATATATGGTCTTAAAAATTCATATTCAGCAAGGGTAGCTCTCCAATGCAAATTTCAAAAGCAAGAATGTGCTTGCGTTGGAAATTCCAAACATTCAGTCCTGACTTTTTGCCAGATTCCACTTTTCTCTCAAGACACGCACACTCCTTCCAGTCCCTAGAAAGAAGAATTAAGAGAAGCTGTTAATCATAGCCCGGCCCCTTTCCGAAAAGGAGAAGAAAAGAGCGTCTCCAAGCCTCAGCAAAGTCACGCTCTTACTCCGTAAGTCCTGCTCTGATGAGCAAGCAGCGTCCAGCGGCGAGAGGAATGCACTCTGCACATGCACAGATTCACTTCCCCGCAATCATGTCCTTCTTCCTCCCAAATTAAGTTCTGGTTTAAAATACTGTTTAGGGGGCTTGGCTTGCCTAGAAAGTAGTCGAATGTTAATTTTTAAAAACCGTCCCAAAGGACAGAAACCTTTTCATTCCAAATTCTAGCATGTTTTCATGGCGCAAAGTGAGACGGGGTTGTTTTTAAAGAAAAAACTATTTTAAAATATACTTTTGTTACAGTTGCACCCATATAAATAGAGCGCACGGCCTCGATCCTTGGAGAACTTTTCTTTCCTCCCCTTGCCCAGAGCGAGCCATCCGAGCGCCCAGGTCATTCTGGGTTTAAGATCGCGCGCACCGGGGTCTCCGCACCTACCCTGGACCCGATGTAATGCACGGCTTCGGCTCCCCGGCTCCCTCCTCGCAAGCACCGGACGCGCAGCATCCCTCTCTCTCCGCGGCTCTGGCGACAGGAATGATCCCTCTCTCGTCCCCTCCGGGGAACACACAGCACGCCTAACCTAAACAGCGAAAAGCGAGAGGCAGTGGGGCGGCCGCGACCCTTTATAGCAGCTGCCGCCTCGCGATTGGCTGGCCCAAAGCGATGGGGCGGAGGGAGGCGGTGGGCGAGAGCCCCAAATTAGCAAGCGGCGTCCGGCCAAGGCGCCTCCGTTGCCTTTTATAGCCTCCAGGGGCGCCTCTCTGGCAGGGATGAATGGGGAAGAGGGTTAAAGACGACCATTCAGATCCGCCCCTCACTCTTTTCTAAGAAAGCCACGGGGGTGTGGGGTACGGGGAGATCTCTTGTTTTCCGTGGCTGGATCTGTTGCACCGTGCAGCAAAAGGAAGTGGTAGAGCACCCCCCCACACTCGCCCCCCACCCACCCCCCGGACTGCACCACTTCAGACTCCACATGGAGGACGCAATTCTCTGGAATGTTTCCCCACTTAAAAATGGATGAGGGAGCCTGCTGGCCTGTGCCCGGGAATATAAGCCCCTTTAATAGGATGTGTAGCCAGTGCTAGCCCTGCAAAAACTAGACCCGTTGGAGTTAAGAGACATGGCAGCCTTAGCTTTGTTAATTTCAGTGGGTCTGCTCTAAATAGGGTTAGCATTGGATAAAGCCTGTCATGGTACTTTAAAAGGTAAAGGGACCCCTGACCATTAGGTCCAGTCGTGACCGACTCTGGGGTTACGGCGCTCATCTCGCTTTATTGGCCGAGGGAGCCGGTGTACAGCTTCCGGGTCATGTGGCCAGCAGGACTAAGCCGCTTCTGGCAAACCAGAGCAGCACACGGAAATGCCGTTTACCTTCCCGCCAGAGCGGTACCTATTTATCTACTTGCACTTTGACGTGCTTTCAAACTGCTAGGTTGGCAGGAGCAGGGACTGAACAATAGGATTTGAACCGCCGACCTTCTGATCGGCAAGTCCTAGGCTCTGTGGTTTAACCCACAGCGCCACCCTCGTCCCTTTATCATGGTACTTAGTTCTGATTAAACATTCATAGGTCACATTCACACAATAAAGTGCTGTGGTACCAATAACAGAAGCCAACGTTGACACCTGACCTAGGCTGCATCTGCACTATACAGTGGTACCTCTAGTTGTGGACACAATCTGTTTCGGGGTACCGTTTGCGCCCCACAAAGCCCGCAACTAGAGTGGCACTTCTGCGAAAGCGCGGAGCGTGATAGAGTGCTTCTGCGCATGTGCGAAGCAAGCAGAATGTTTCTGCACATGCACGAAGCGCGTGGTGAAACCCGGAATTATACACTGGTGTGATAAATGTACAGAAGAGTTTGGATTTGATATCCCGCCCTTCACTCCCCTTCAGGAGTCTCAAAGCGGCTAACATTCTCCTTTCCCTTCCTCCCCCACAACAAACACTCTGTGAGGTGAGTGGGGCTGAGAGACTTCAAAGAAGTGTGACTGGCCCAAGGTCACCCAGCAGCTGCATGTGGAGGAGCGGGGAAGCGAACCCAGTTCCCCAGATTACGAGACTACCGCTCTTAACCACTACACCACACTGGCTCTCCACACTGACTCTCCACACTCTCCACTGCACCACACTGGAAGTTCTGGGTCTGCCACGTTTGCAAGCCGAAAAGACGCAACATGAACCTAACGCAACATGAGGTATGACTGTACATTTATCACACCAGTTTAAACAGTCATGGCTTCCCCCAAAGAATTTTGGGAACTGCTGTTTGGTTAAGATAGCTGAGAGTTGTTAGGGGACCACTATTCTCCTCCCAGAACTACAGTTCCCAAAGTTTCCTGTGAAGAAGGATTGATTGCTATTTTGTGTCCTAGGCAAGGCTCCTTGCACCCACCCCTCCTCACCCCCCAAAAAATGCTAACTTCCCTTTTGAAAAGCAACATACTTGAAGAGAAAAAAAGAAAAGCAAAAAGCTTGAAATTGCTACATTTATTTTAAATTGCAAGAATGTGAAACACAGCAATATTTGATGATCTTTCTCAAATACAAAAGAAAATGTTTTAGCACACAAATCACTTTTTGAATACTCTTGTCCATTGTGATGTTAAAATTCAAGTCTCTTAAAAGTTTCAAATTCAGGGACATCAAAACCTTCTCCTTTTCAAATATTCAAATTTTGTCAGCAATTTCTTCAGGTCAAAGTGCTGATATTTGAGTATGTTCAACTGATATACTTGCCAAGCCAACTGGTCTCTTTTGCAACGTCACTGAGTGTAAGTTTTTATAAGCTTGAGCTTTGAGAAACTGCATTCCCCACTTGCCACCAACACTGGAAGTGTGAGAAGAATCCTTAGACTGAGCAACAGGAACATTAGGCACATTATCCATTAGTTTTTGCTGAAGTATGAAGAGAAGTATTCCTTGTGAAGCGTAGACTTTGGAAGTCTTTGAGCTATTGCTATAAGTTTACAACATAGACCTTCAGCATCAATAGCTTCAATTTTTCCAAATTCTTGCAGGCCTTATGTACCTCTTCAGTAGATTTTATGCTGATGTTGTATTTATCACACAGGAAGCCAAATACAGAATTACAGTGGTACCTTGGTTCTCAAACTTAATCCGTTCCGGAAGTCCGTTCCAAAGTGTTCCAAAACCAAGGTGTGCTTTCCCATAGAAAGTAATGCAAAATGGATTAATCTGTTCCAATTTAAAAACAACCCCTAAAACAGCAGTTTAACATGAATTTTACTATCTAATGAGACCATTGATCCATAAAATGAAAGCAATAAACAATGTACTGCAGTCACACAATCAATCAATAGCTGAACTGGGTTCCACACAGTCACAAAAACAAAAAAGAGCCGCAAAAACAAAAATGCAAAATAAATAGCAAAAGCAGACAGACCTCAGCATAACACTCTACGGAAGTGTGGCACTCAAATCGGAGGCGTAACACTAAAAATGGAGCACATTCAGCTTCCAAAAAAATTCACAAACCGGAACACTTACTTCCGGGTTTGCAGTGTTTGGGTTCCAAGTTGTTTGAATACCAAGGCGTTTGAGAACCAAGGTACCACTGTATATTGTTGTACCTGTTGGAATCTCTCTTCAACTAGTGTCAGAAAGTTCTTCCTGATGCTTAGTTACATTTCCTGTAACTTGAATCCATTGTTCTGAGTCCTACCCTCTAGAGCAGGAGAAAACAAGCTTGCTCCATCCTCCATGCGACAATCTTTTTGATATTTGAAGATTTCATATCTCCTCACAGTGCCTTGGCTCCTAGGCCAGACCGGTGGAGCTTCCTGTAGGCATGCTACAGGTGAACCATAGCCCCTCACCCCTTTTGCACCATGCCCCGGGCCCTGGCGACCTATGCTAGGCCACTGGCTCCCACAGTTCTTTGGGGGAAGCCATAACTGTTTCAAGTGGGATCATAGCACTTTAAATGCATGGTGTGAATGTGGGCATAGATTGCTTGCTAATAGGTTCCTTGCAGTTAGAAAACTCCATGGCTGGTGGCAGCAACGATTCTGATTACCAGTTGCTGGAAACTGCAGAAGGGGGAGGTTCTCTTGGTAGCCTTCTGGCTAAGCACCCCTCTTCTAAGCAAATGAGTACTGCTCTGGCTGTTCCTGACTCTTGCATGTTTAGAGCATGGTTCCTATTGGAGACTGAGTGTGGGGTTTTCCTTTCCATATTGATGGCAGGATACGCCTGGACTGAGAACGGTTCTGTGGCTGTAGGCACACCCCTTACGTGTGCAAAAATGCATATATTGGGGAAAATCGTGCATAAAAATGCATATATTCATGAAAAAATAACACAAAATTGCATTATATTAGAGGACTTCGGTTTCCAAAAATGTGTACATCAGGAGAAATTGCATACAAAAATGCGTCTATTGGGGGAAATTCACACAATTATGTGGATGAATTTTAAGGAGGGCTTTTTAAAAATCACAAACTTTGTGCAAATGTGGGAAAACAGGACTTAAGACTGGAAAAAATGAGAAATGGGGAGAAACAAAAAATGACAAACTTGCCCACCCCTAATCTAGAGCCATCCCTGAAATGATGATTCAGGACCTCTTGATAACCTTTTCCAGATCAGATAGTTCCAAAAGTTTAAACATTGCCCCCACCCGGGGAAATTGCTTTCCTCTTGATCTGCCATGAACCTTTGGAATGTTTACTGTGCATTTTTGCACAATGAGTGAACTTTAACAATTTAATAAGGGTGGCATGCAGCTGGAATCTGGCACTTAACAGTACGTACAGTAGACAGCAGTGCTCCTTTGTGAACTTGTACAGTCGTACCTTGGCTGTCGAACGAAATCCATTCCGGAAGTCCGTTCAACTTCCAAAAATGTTTGAAAACCAAGGTGCAGCTTCTGATTGGCTGCAGGGGCTTCCTACACTCAATCGGAAGCCGCGGGAGCTGTGTCGGACTTTGGCTTCCAAAGAACGTTCATAAATTGGAACACCCACTTCTGGGGTTGCGGCATTCCGGAGCCAAAACAGACGAGTACAAAGGCATTTGACAAACAATGTACACCTGTAAAGTGGTACCTCGGGTTAAGTACCTAATTCGTTCCGGAGGTCTGTTCTTAACCTGAAACTGTTCTTAACCTAAAGCACCACTTTAGCTAATGGGGCCTCCCACTGCTGCCATGCTGCCGGAGCACGATTTCTGTTCTCATCCAGAAGCAAAGTTCTTAACCCAAGGTACTATTTCTGGGTTAGCAGAGTATGTAACCTGAAGCGTATGTAACCTGAAGCGTATGTAACCTGAAGCGTATGTAACCCAAGGTACCACTGTAATCATTTTGCAAACACGTAAGCTTTCATGTAATTATCACTGCCTGGAATGCATACATTTACTTTCCCTCAGACCTAATAATAATAATAATAATAATAATAATTTATACCCCGCCCATCTGGCTGGGTTTCCCCAGCCACTCTGGGTGGCTTCCAATCAAGTGTTAAAAACAATACAGCATTAAATATTAAAAACTTCCATAAACAGGGCTGCCTTCAGATGTCTTTTAAAGATAGGGTAGCTGCTTATTTCCTTCACATCTGAAGGGAGGGCGTTCCA